GCCCTTTGTACAAGTATCGAGGTACTAACGGAAACACCAAAACCCAGACGTTTCTTTCACAAGGGATGAAAATACAAAAGATGAAACTAAAGAATACTGAACAAGATTTAGTAAAATAATCATCGAGTGGGTAAATAATAACCTCTGGTTTATTAAGGTCCTTAGTCGTGAACTCTTAAAAGGTGGGAATGCAAGCTTATCGCGAAATAAGGGATTTGCTTCAATGAGCTTCTTAAGCTCTACAAGCATTATATTTCGAGCGGATTTTGTGTCACCATATTTTGAAAGCTGCTCATTTTGTCTGATAACAGAAAACAAACAGCAAAATTTAGCTTAATTCAATTAGGTAGCTGTCAAGAGCAAAAAGAAAGCACAAGCACACACCTAAAGTTATCAAGAGTAAGCAACTGGGTAATCTCCTTAAAAAGTTCCTCATTGAAGGATGCAAAAACCTTCAGATCCTTTACAAGAATTTCAACAGCCTTTGCTCGATCCTGCCTGATAGAAGATAACACATAGAATAATCCAAACTTAGAAAGAAGCATGATAGAAAACTGCATAACAGCCAAGACAGCCTCAGGCTGAAATATCTTCCCAAGTTCAAGATAAGCTATCTCCGCTACTCTATGAAGTGCCCCTAACTTGGGAAATATATATGTGTAAGAAGCACAGAGTTTGAAAATCCTAGGCATTCGACAAGCAAGATGTTAATTGCAATACATTATGTGCTCACCTGTCAAGAGCTTCCAGATACTTCTGCTTCCTAATTTCAAAGAAAATCTTCATCGAGTAACGATTATCTTCAACCTTCGTGAACCCACAGAGATAACGCTCAACTTCGTCCCATTCACCAGCCTGGACTTGATCCTCAAAATGTTTCATATTGAAGAAAAAACTAGACTCCTGTTCTAACCTAGAGCACACCATCACCAAGCCACATACAAAGGCAGACAATAAAAGCTATAAGTGTCACATGCCAAAGCAAGGATTAGTAGAAACCTATTCAAAAGTCAATTAACTCGAGCCTATCAAACTGCCAGTGAATGAAAACAAAGGTATGAATGCGCTATTTAAAAGAACTGAAAGATCATGTTCTTGTTTTTACATTCTTATTTCCCCCCCTTCTTTTGCTACTAATAAAGCAGATTTCTATAATGCCAATCAAATATACATGATTTTCACCATTTGCAACACAAAAAGGCATTAGCTAACATGATGGAAATATGCTCTTCCCTCTATCAGCCATAGGCCAAAAAACTCTTAAGCCATTATCATCCTAACCTAGCTCAAGAGCCAAAAAGTTAAAATGAAGCAACATAGCTAAATGAAGCAATGAACTTACTTATGAACAGTTTCCTTGAACTTTTCCTCGTCCAGGAACTGTAATATCAAAAACACCAGCTCCCTACTCAAGGAAGACATTGTCCCGGGTACCCCTAGTCGCTCCAGTTCAAAGATTAAATGATGAACCAAGAAATCAACTTTTTTTTTCAAAACTAACCCAAAAACACCTTACCACACCAACTAAAACCCAATAATTGAAAAAAGCCCTAAGAAATACCCAGAAAATGGCATTCCTTCAACTCCCATCTGCAATCACTTTAACTTCCAATATCACTCATTAAACACTCTAATTTCACTGTTCCAACAAACCAACCATTCAAGCTGCAGCCCGGAACACCAAAGCTCCTTTGGCCAAAACAACAAAAACCCAAATTGTTAAAAACAATAACCAGGCAAAATAACCCTTTCAAGACTTCTTTTACAAGCAAACCCCAACCTTCACATAAACCCTAGTTTCCTTTAACCTTAAATGAAAGATCCAACAAACTGAAGCAACAAAGTCTGAGAATTAGCTAAAGCTTGAATTTCACTCACAACCAAAAGTCTGAAACTTCCAAGCTTTATTTGTGCACACTAAGAGAAAGAGATTACCAAAAAATCCAAAAAGAGTAAAGTCTTGCCCTTTGCTGTAACACCGTAAAAGAGCAGGCAGAGTAAAAAACTATAACAGGGCTAGTTTTTTTTTTAACTTTGTTTTTCTCCTGCAACAACCTTAACTTTAGTCTGAAAAAAAATTAGAAAAGGGGTAAACTCAAACTTTGATTCTCTTTCTCTGTCAGTATCTTTTTGTTTGCAAGATTAGGACAAAGGTCTGCTGGACTTTTTTTTCCCCTTTTTTTCTTCTTTTCTGCTTATGTCTCTCACACAAATACAAATTTGTCCGATTAATTGGTACGACAGTTGGATGCTCTTTCAAGTAATAACATGCTAGAATCTATAGAGTTGATGGTGAAAAGTGAAAACCATGAATGGTTTGGTGTGAATATTTTAATTTTTTTATAACTCATTTGCCCTTTCACAGTGAATAGCTCAATATAATATAATTAGAAATAGACCTTAAAACAAATATTAATAACATTTAAAATATAAATGTAATATTAATATATATATATTGTATTTGTATTTTTAAATTTTTATATAAAAATATTTAAATAAATAATTAAATTTTATTTTTTTTAAATTAAACTCGTATTTAACAAGATTTGTATAAAACTTTTGTCATTATATCAATAATCATTTTTCTAAAATTTTACTTTAATCTTTTATATATTTTTTCTTTTACCTAAATTATAATTTTAACAAAATTTAATTTTATAAATTGTTTAAATAAAAATATGGAATGAAAAAGAATGATATTAACATGATAATAATATATGAATAAACAAATCTAATGGGGTGGGGTGTAGCTGTCCCTTTATTAAAGTGTCACATTAATTGTTCCTATCAGTCTCTACGTTTTAGACCTTTTATATTGTGTTGGATTTTTCTTATTAATATAAAAAAATTCTCAAGTTTTGTATATTTTTTTAATTTACATCTCTAATTTTTTAGATTAATATAGATGTTTAATATTTTTTCGTTATTATTTTAAGTGTTTGTATAATAAAAATAATTAAAAAAATTACATCAATCACTCAAAATATAACATGTGACATGTTTATTAAAAATATATTTAAATAAAAACTTAATTTTAAAAAAAAGTAAAAAAAAAACTCATATTTCTAAAATTCTTAATTCAAAACTTTCAATTATAATCGCCAACATCTCTAGCTGTCATCACCAATTGATCACTTACTCATCGTCAATCATCTAATAACTGACGACAGTTATTTATTATCGACTCAAACCTTTAAATTGTTAAAGTTCTGGTACTTAAATCTCTAATCATTGCGGACACAAAACAACAATTGCTTAAATTCCTAATCATGGCTGGCAGATCAGCTATGATTGCAAACAATTACTTGAACAATTGTTTCGTGGCATTAGGTTACATTAGAAGAGACTTATACGTGGTGGGAGTGTATTTATGAAAGTTTACATGGCATTGGTGGCTGCCTTAGAATGGTTGTTCGAAGGTGAAAATGGGTAGGCGTTTAACGATGATGACAGCGATTGGTGATGATGGTGATAGAGGCATATCTTAAGACTAAGTATCTTTTGAAATTTTATGAATTCTTAGATATTTTTAAAAAATTAAAAATTAGGTTTTTTTTAAGACTTATGAATTTAGTTTTTTAAATATAAGAAAATGTGTTTCTTTTAATTTAAAAAAAATGGATAACCGTCATATACTTGTGTCGATAAAAAAATTAGACGCATGGATGAAAAAAAATATTTTAAATTTTTTACATTAATCATTTTTTTATATTAAACCTTTCTTGAAGTGTGTTTTAGTTTAAAAGAATGAAGGTTTTAAGTTTCATACTCTTAATATTCGGTTACTTTATTAGGTTTTAGATTAAGATTTTAATTTAAGTATTTTGATTTGGCATCAATTTACATTTGTTGTACACTTCTAGATATGAAGGTTTCTAGAGAAAATACCTACGGTTGAGTTTTTAGAAGAATCTTCAGATAAAATATTTATACAATTTTATACCTCTCAAGAAATCACAACCATTTGATAGTACTTTTGACATGACTCACATGTTATATTAGAATCAAAATCAATTGACAATTTACCACATCAATCAGACATACTTATCACGTCAACTTATGAATAACTCTTATATCTATTGAAATTTTTTAATTTCAATCCCTATTTCCAATATAGTCATCTCCCACCATCACCTTTGTTGCCATCCACCCACCCGTCATCATCCTAAGTTTCTAAATCTGGAATCCTAAATTTAATGGAGAAAGGGATTTACACGCTGGAAAGAAAAATAGAGATGGCTTAATATACCACCTTTGCCGACTATCGGGAGAGGCTTAACACAGGGGGTTAGGGCCTTGGGGGTGGGGTGGTGATTTGCACACTGGGAGGGAAGGGATGCGCGGGGGAGAGGACTAGGGAAGAGGGCCGACGCTCGGAGGGACAGATGGAGGAAAGAGGGCTCGCATGGTGCTTATAATTTAAAAAAAAAATTATTTTTAAAATGATTTTTTCAAAAAAAATATATATCATATATAATTTATCAGATTTTTTTAACATCTGTTATGATCGAGACATTTAAAATGATAATATATTATACGTCTAGATTGATAAAAAAAATAGGCACTTAAATGAGAAAAAATATATAATTTAAACACTTTTTTTATATTAAGCCTAAATTAAAAGAATAAAATACTTGTCACAATTTTAATATAGTTTGTGAGAGAAAAAATAAATCAACACTGATAATAATCCTTTATATAAACCATTAAAAATACCTCTGTGTCAAGAAGAAGAAAAAATACCTCCAGTGAATAAACAACTTCCATGGAAAATTGTGTTGCGCCTGCTTTCTTAATATACACAATGGTGGAGTTTAGTTTTCTTTTAAATGCCATTGCCAAGCACCTCTACTTCACTCCATCAGCTTTAAATTAATTAAAATACCTAGGTTTAATTTCCAGTTTTACAAGCTTTCAGTGCCTCTGATGTTACCTGGAGATTAAATGAAGTGTTTACCAATTATTTTTCTCATTGTCAAGCTTTGTTTTAATGCCATAACATAAGCAAGGAAATGGCTTCTGAGTTCGAATATGTGAGAGATCATTAGATTGTTGATGAACCCAGTGACGAATACCCTGCAGCTCTCATCTCCTTGAGAGTTCCAGATAGCCAGTCTAACCCTTCGTAGAGGCCGTCTCCTCGAAGTGCGCAAGTCCCTTGTATGTGCCATTTTCGATTCTTTAGATTGAAAAGACCTAATCCCTCACACACCTCCATCGGGGTCATTGCCCCTTTCTGGAAAGAACACAAGATCAAATAAATGAAACATATTACGTGTGAAACTGTGAAAGAGCTTCAGTTTATGCACAATGAAGCAAAAAAAAAAAATGATAGTTTATTCATTCCAACCGGAAAGCTCGAAAGATGCTTATTGCATATTTCTCTATTCTTCAATCAAAATGAAAAGGAAGGAAATTATATTGCCTTATTCATCTCAGCTATCCAGTTCAAAAGAGAAAAGGCGAGAAGGATGAGGGAAGAAAGACTAGCCCCTCTCATCCGCCTTAAAACAAAACCAAAAATGACGTCTATTAAAAATATGATGTTAAACGGTACCTAATGACTAAGCTACTCTAATTCTTCATTTTTTTAAGAACTACTCGGTCCAACTTATATCTGGAAATGGAATAAATATCTATATCCGACATTCACACCCCAAATTAACATAGTCTGATCGCAACATCCATATTTCACAAGTGAATCCGCCAAAAGCAACATTTAATAATGTTGAGTCCAAGAGAAGAAAAGCACCCAAGCAGCAATTTCAAATGCTTTCTCCATCATTATGCCTCACATAGTAAAGACTAAAGAGGCACCGCATTATGTTACCAAGAGACCAAGAACACAGGATAAAACAATGAACTGAATGAAGCCATGATATACGCAGGCTATATATGACACTTCTCACTGAACCAAATAAAATGGGAGGATCCATCAAGCCAACAGCAGCAGGTGAAAAGGAAAAACAAGAATTTATTTTTCAAACCTAAAATATAATTGAAAATGTTACTTCAAGTTCAAACAACTAAATGCATGTGTGCTCAATAGTTCATCAAGTAGATGCCACATGCATTTTGTTATATACATAAAAAGAAAGGTCTATAACCACTACTGAAATCATACCATGTCTTGCTTGTTGGCAAACACCAAGATGACACTATTGCACATAAATGGGTCGTTGATGATGGCCTGGAATAAAAATTAAGAATGTAAAGAGGCAAAGTTAAACCCAAGTATCTAGCAAGTTTGTGTACGTTTTCTAAATTTACAACCTGAAATTCTTGTTTAGCTTTGCCAATCCTCTCTCGGTCCAAAGAATCAACAACATAGATCTGCACAGAAAAATATAGTACAGATAAGTATGAATGTGCTTATCATTTTAATCAGTAGAGCATAACAAAAGCACAAAACCATTTAAGAAAATAAATCTTCTAGTTTTGATTAAAGGTTGTAAAGTCTTAACCAGCAGAGGAATTTATAAAATCCTCCTATGTTTGACTTTAGCCTAATCTCTCAAATTTCAATAATATAAGTTTCCCTCTGAAGCGACAAAAACGAAAATTATGAAATGAAACAAATTAAAGCAAAATCGGGGAAACAGACAGCTATAAGATAAAAAGGGGATATGTCTACTATCATATACCAAGGATTTTTCAAATAATATAACCAACCAATGGAAAATTTTGGGTCAAACTCAATCAAAGAAACATTACAAGTTTTTTCCATTCTTTTGAGACAGAGCTGATAATTACCAGGCCATACTAGAAGGCATTTTCAAATAAAGTAACCAACAACGGCACAGGTTAAGGTCAAAATCCATCAAATGAAACAATACAAGTTTTGTCCTTCCTTTCAAGAGAGAGACGAAGAGCTAATCATTACCAGTCCATCTGTGTTGTTAAAGTAATGCCTCCAAAGTGGTCTTAGTTTCTCTTGTCCACCAACATCCCAAACTGTGAATATCACATTCTTATATTGAACTTTCTCCACATTGAAACCTGGAAGAGACAGCAAACAGACTCAACTGTCATATCAACTAGTGTATCCAAATTTCACAACATCCAATATTGAGCCAAGAAGATATTTAAAAAGAGAGAGAGAGAGATGGATCCCAAAGATTATAGAAGGAAAAGGAAACAAGACTACAAAACTAATCAATGATATATGCCTATTGGAAATTTTGGAAAAGAGAAACAATATTCCAAAGATCAACAAAGTAAAGTAAATTATCAAAACATATGGCAATCACGCTGAATGAGCCTTCAGACAGCTCAACCACTATGTTCAAATAATTCTTGAGTATGAAGAATAGAAAAGCATGAACTCTCTGTCCCAGACAATAGCCATATATTGCTATAGAAAGCTGGTGAATGACACAGTTAAAGGAAAATTTCGAGAATAATCAGTTAACGCATGTTACTACAACTGGTCTAAATTAATCAGCAAGGCAAGCCACGAGGACAACTACCATGGTCAAAAAGTATAAAATTGAATATAAGATTTCCTTAGACCATATAATATCTTTTGTAGTGATTTGGTATATCTTTTTATAGATGCAAGAGCATCTGCTTGAACAGTTATATTAGCTTCTGTAGCATTAAAGTTTTACTATTTTTAAGGTAATCACTTTTAGTAATATGGTTTTAGCCCATCCAGGAGCAGCACTTCTAGAGGACAAACAAAAGAAAGGACTAAATTATAAAAGCCTATTTATGTTTATACTGACAGAAATGGAAATGAGTACTGCCAAGAGCTCCTGTGTGAACAAACAAAACAAAATACCAGCAAAATACAAGAGCCTCACTCATATACTTGACCCAACCTAAAATCAAATTGTTATGAGCCAAGTTGCCTACCAATGGTGGGGACAGTTGATAAAACTTCTCCAATGTGCAGCTTGTACAATATAGTTGTTTTGCCAGCTGCGTCAAGGCCTAGCATCACAACCTAAATCATCTCAACAAAAACTACACATAAGAATAAAGAGTAAAGGGAAATAAATAAATAAAAATAAACAGCACTTATGTCTGATAATAACCTGCATATGTGGTATAAAAAGAAACGAGGAATATGGTACAGCTTAAGTCAGAAAGGTGAAAACAATATACTACTTAACAACAAACCAGTGGCTTGGACACTATATTCATAAGGACAAGCAAAAAGGTCTGCCAATTTTAAATTTTCCGCTTATACATTATCTATTATACATGCTATTAGTAATAGAACATGTGTCTAAGTTGTGCATGTTGGAATATGTACACTCTTGCCTAAGGAGAAGAAAACTAATGGTGAGTTAAGATACTTCAACTTCTCAGCTATTAGCTATGGTGAGTTAAGCTAGTTTAACTTCTCAGCTACTTACAAGCCAAGACATTTTATTTCTACCAACAACATGATAAATGCAAATACGTGCAGAATTCAGCTGAATTTATGACACAAAACGCCAAATTTTGATATTCCCACGTCATAGAAGAAACAAAAAATCGAGTTTTTGACACGACAGACAGCAGGTCTTATATGATGCATATACATTCCAGAAAACATCAAAAAGTTACAATCAACAACAACTTGATTTCACTATAATCAGGTATTTCTACGATATGGGACGATCCCAGTTTTTAGCACAATTTAATGAAAAGCAATGAAAAGATTGAGCTGAATTTAATGGACATCAACAACTTGATTTCACTAACTAATTAAAGAAAATATCACCAAGTATCTAACAGGAAATTATATCTTGAGCAAAATTAAATCGCTTTCATGGCTTTCAATCTAGAACCAAAAGTAAGAAATTTCATCAATTCTACATAAGGTCATTAACTATAAACAGGAAAAATAAGTTTTTTTTAAAACGAAAGTGGAGAAAAATTCAGTTTAAAGAAAGGAGATAGAAATAGTCAATTATTAAGCAAGAAAAAAGGAAATAAATATGGAGAGAAAGAAGTACCCTCATCTCTGTGTTACCAAAAAAGATATCGAATAGCTTGCGAAAAGCTTGACCCATGCCTTGTTAATTTTCGATTCTTTCTTTCTCAAAAAAATTTCACTTGTGATTTTGAAAATCTTCCCTTTCTTCTTAGGGTTTTCCGCTTGATCTCTCTCCAATAAAAAATATCAAATATTTGGATTAATCACAGAGAATATTTTCTAGAAGTAGAAGAAGAAGAAGAAGAAGAAGACCAGTTTTTTTTTTTTTTTTTTGCTAACGATGATCGGTTAAAAGAGAGAGGAACGGAAAGGGACGTGTTATAAGAGAGAAGAGGTCGCGTTTGTTTGCTGAACAGAATAGCTACCCCGGGCCCATATGGACCAAGCCTGATTATGCATATGGAAATCCCTTCTAATTTTTTGGGTAAACTAACCTTTAGTGCCTAAATTACCACTATTGTTTCGTTATAATCACCCAACTATTTCTTAAATTTCTGTAATAGTTTGATACGATTATAAGGTAATATATGATTAGAATTTTATTAACCAAATGATAACGTATACATATCATACAAACGCAATTGTTTGAACTCAAGATCTTAAAAGAGAATAATATTCCCTTTTATCACTGATGTCACTTGATGGATTCTTTTTTTAAATCATATCTAACGTTACGTTTTAGTTTCATTTTGATTATCTGATGTTTTTTTAAATTAATCTAGGGGTAGTATAATGTAATTTCTGCTCAAATATAACTCTCAATCATTTGACATTGAACGCTCACACCCTGACATTCATGGTGCTTGAACTCGGAATCTTAATTTATTACAATAATTCTTATACCGCCAATAACGCTTGATTGATGCTTATCATTCTTCTTTAAATAATTGATATTGCAGTAACATGGCAACTTCTAAAATTATATAAAATAGATTTATTTTTTCAATATTTGTATTTACACATTAATCAATTTAATATTTTTTTTAAAAAAATAGCTTTAATATTTTATACTATATCAATTTAATCACAACATTAGTAGTTTGATTGCATGTATTTAGTTAGCAATTATTTTTCGTTGTTTGTACTTTTCTTAATTTTTTAATAAGTTTTCTCTTCATTAAAATACATAAATATTTTAACTTTGGTTGTTTTCACATCTCCGAAGGTGTAAACCAGTGCACACTGGTATGCTACAAACAGTGTAATTGCATAGCCGTACATTGAGTGTAATGAATCTTTATAAAGAAATGTGGAGTTGGCTAAAGTGATGTAGAAATACATCGATAATTATTGTTAAGTTGGATAGTATCTGCTTTAGGAATGTATATAGGTCGAGTTAAGTCGAATTTTTGGCTAATCATATCTGACTTAAAAAATATACATTTTCCACCTAAAATTTGATTTGAACTCGATCTGCTTTTTTAAGATAAAACCCGAATTCGAACTTGACTTAATCCGACCTTAAATAAATATATTTATAAGAATATTAATTTTATTCTATAAAAATATGGATATAATTAAATAATAACAATATAGAGAGATAATATTACAATTATCCTTAAATATACAATGTATAATTATATTATTTTTAAGTCACGTCATGTCAATATTTTTAACTTAAACTCGAACCTGACTCGAATATATTTTCTAAAAAGCCCAATTAGATCCAATTCGAATATAATTTTTTCAAAAAAAAAATCAATCCAATAAAATCGATTCGGATCGGAATCAGTTGAGTTTGGATTCGTCCATCCCTAATCTCAATATACTCTAATAATCGTATTATTCATGGTACCTGTTAATTTGATAGAATTTTTTTAACGCTTCCTTGGTATAGTAATGCTTTGTGATAATGAAAGACATTTGTCCAAATCAATGTCACATGGATGTATGATAAATACATTCAAATATTATTATTAGTTATTACACAATACGATAATCGAAAAATTCTTCTGATAATTTTTATCATAGTTGAGAAAGAGGATACTGACTTTAATTTTTTTCTTAATAACTTACACAAACACACACACACATATATATATATTTATTGTTAAAAAGACAACATATGCATAATTTGTGATAAAAAAAAATAGGATTACACCAGCGATTGATCGTTTGGACCGATCTTGAAAACCTTCACATATCTTTCATCATTATTATGTTTGACATATTGCAATAAATTATCAGGGAATATACAAAAAGGATTATCAACTAACTTTGCTTTGTATATGTATTTTTTTTACTATTTTAATATGAATTACCATTGTATTTATTAATTTCTATAACTAATTGATATTTAATTATTAGGGTAAGAATTGTTTTCCTACCTATTTGAGGATATATTCGAATATTTGGAAAGAAAAAATAAGAAAGGTTATGATCATAGACTTAAATAACAATCTGTTATTAAAATAACGACAACTATATAACAGTAATAATATCGTCTATAACCGTTATTGCTGGACCGTGATACTCATAATGATCGTACTAAAATTTATTATGTCCACGTTCACGATAAACGTAACATAATCACAGTTTAAATTAGTGGTGTTCACTACATTGCTTGCATCCTTATAAAGAAATTGGTTCAATCATTTGATGGACCATTGATATGATCATATGACCATCAATTTGGTTGAGGCGATCATTCTTCTTTGAATGGGATGTGCCATTTGCCTATAGCTTTTATTGTGAAAGCAACATATTATCAATTATCCAAGTCATTTGAGACTATTGGAGAATAAGCAGTTACTTTGATGACTGTTATGCATATTGCCAATTCAAAACTTAAGGATCTCCTAAACACATATGTTATGAAATCATATGTCATGTTCGTTTAGAATTTTTCATGTACAAATAAAATATTTTGAATTACCGAATTAGCGCTATCTTTGAAAAGTATAGTGCAAAAACTATATCGAGTTAAACTACTTGAACGTTGGTAAGAATGTAGGGTATTTTAAAAACTCCATTATCCATGCTTACACATCATTGTTACATGTATGTTTATCCATATTGATTACATGACACACGTTAATAACATATACAAGTTTAAGACCATATTCAAGCTTTATGAATATAAGTTTCCTCATATCATTAGCGAACAAGAATGAAATCTGATTAGTGATGAGAGTATAATGCTACCAAATACTTCATCATGTTCACAAGTTAGAAGATTTTCTGGAATTAATTAAGATTTAAATTATTATAATTATTAGAAAAAATATCTTACGATCGAAGTAACGTTTATTGTAAAAACTCATGAGTCACGACACAACAAAAAAAAAATTGTCTTACTTCGTTAGCATTTCATAATCAAGAATTATAATATTTCAATTATTCATTTGTAATTTTTTTTGATAAATTACACATTTAGTACCTAAAGTATATTAAAATATAGAAACATATATATGGAAATATTTTAAAATGTCTCTATATTTCTTGAGTATATAAATATATTTCTGCGCTGTTAATGGGTCTGGAATACCATATCAACATATCTTATGTGGATGATTCAGAGGTCTTTAAGGTATATGGGAATTCAATTTCCTTTATTTGTAATTATTTCTCATATCTGCTCTTCCCATTTTTTATCCTTTTTGAAGTTGGTTTCTAAAGTATGATGTTGCTTTTCGTCTGGTTCAATAGGTTTGCTTGGACTATTGGAACTCCTTTGTCTTGGAGCTATTTGATGCACATCATAACATGGATAATCCTGCAGTAAATGCAAACATGATGGGACTGCAGGTATCAGGATTATTTATTCTACTTGAAGGATTTGTTGCAAACTATTTGGAATGCAGAAAATTACCCTGAATCTCCATTATTGCTCAAGTGTTATCAGTTCTATATGCATTACATTTGTTACGGTCCCAGGTATAGGATCTCATTTGAATAGGACTGCGTTGGCAAGTTGTTTTCTTCTTTCGCTTTCTAGCTATGATTCTCGTCAAAGGTAGAATCCACCTTTAGACTCCTTTGGGAGAGAGTCGCCTGATCTCTATTTTAGGTTTTAGATACATAATTTTATTCAATATCAAAAGACCTCTTATATAGAGGTTACGTGGAATAAAAGACTTGATTAAGGAAACAAGTCTCCTGGTAAGGAAAGACTTCTAAAGCAAGAAATTTAAATTAAGTCTCCTAGTGAGAAAAGGCTTCTAAGAAAGCAAGAAGTTAAAATTGTGCAATATAATAAAATCCAGATAGTAATATTCTGATTACTAATAATGATAAAACTGATCTTTCCTAAAATAATTATATTCTTTTTCCCAGAAAGAAAATTTTCTTTTCCTAGTAATTAAACCTAATAATTAATTTAACATTACTTGCCTCTTGAAAAAAGAGCTTGTTCCCAAGCTCGAGATTGCATGGTTTGCAATTTGTCCCTTTGGATCCGGCTTAGGGTCATCTTGATTTGCCACCTCTAACCAGAATACTCATTGGCATAGATGTCCTGTTAAATAGGGTTCGTATAACAAAGACCCATAGACCTTAGTTCAAGCATCTCTACTTGATTCAATCTTTTGAAAATTGATGGGTTTTCTGTTTTCGAGTTAGATACTTGATTCTGCCAGGTTGTACTTAGCAGGCCAATGTTTTTGGTCAGCTGGTTTTTTTATCTCAAAGGTTCGATCAAGATTCATAGCTTGAACCAAATCCTGTGTTTCTGCATCTTCACATCTATTTGAATTGAATTCGACAGTTAAAAAATTAAGGCTAAAGATGTCAAAAGCCCTAAAACTTTTGGGGGGAAAATCAATTTAGTCCCTGAATCTCTTTGTTTGCACCCAATTAAGCTTATACTTAAAAATTTCATCAATCACTTACTTTTGCAAGTTTAGACAGATGATTTGTTAGATAAGATCTCTCTCTCTCTCACACACACGCACACACACGATTTCTACTTTCTATGGAGATTGATATGAAATTGGTATAATTCTAGATACACTATGGTAATTTATTATTATTGTTGTAAGTAGATGCTGGCTGTATTTTTAGTGAATATATAACTACTACGGAATTTTCCTGTTCTAGATTACTGCAGAAGGGTCACATATTTCTTGTTAATGAATTGAGTCTGGCAGGTGCGTTTGCTTCCTGGCATGGTTGATGGCATTGGTGCCCAACTTCTGCAACGAAGCCAACTTTATGCTGCTACAATGTCGAAGTTAAGAATGCTCATGATCTGCCATATGGCTAAGCCTGAGGAGGTTCTGATAGTTGAAGATGAAAATGGCAATATTGTTCGAGAGACGTTGAAAGATAATGATG